ATCCTTTGTAGTGGAACCTTACCCATGTTTGCCTGGAGGATGGAGCTAGGAGCAGCGCTCTCAGTCATCTGGGTAGACGGAGTAGGAAGTGCAGCAGGAGGCGGGCTCTAAAGGAGTAGGACCGGGACTTCCTGGAACCCATGTCTGGATGACCCACTGTGACCATTCTCAAGCCACACTTCTCTGTGTGTCTTCTGTAACCCTATCCCAATTCTGAACTTTGTCATTCACTCAGCACTTAAGTGTCTGCGTGAGGAAGGCATAGGGCTTGTCTGTAGTGATGTAAACATGGCTGACACTGTCTTCAGGTGGCTCTAGTCTAATGGGGGAGGCAGATATGGATTTCACAATGTGCTATCACTTGATGGGCACTGTAGTAGAGACCCCAGGTGTGCCCACAATATTATAGAGTTGGGAGGGTGCTTGGACAATTGGTCACCTAACTGGCTGGTCAGGGAAGGCTTCCTATGAATGGAGGTACTCCTTGAGTGGAGGTCCGAAGGGTCCGCCTCATGTGTGGATGTGTGTATTGGGGAGGGAGGTTGGGCACAGTGCAGTTGCACAGAGTTGACGAAGCCACATGCAAGCCATGGCATAATGGCAGCTAGCTGTGTTTTTCTGCTTATGTATTTTGAGCATCCTTGGAATGCTGGAAGTTCTTCTAAAATAGATGAACTTTAAATGGTGGCAGCTACCTCTCAGGTGTATTCTTAGAGTTCCATGGCAAAGTGCCCCCAATAGGTTACAACTGGAGGAAGCATTGTTCCTGGTGCAGTTCAACTGGTTGTGCTGGGTCCAAGTTGCTTCTGACAGATAATTATTGCAGTATTAGCTCCAGGCCCCACAGCCTGGGCCAGGTTCTCATTCCTGTATGAATGCAGGGAAGCCAGGGAGTGTTTTCTCTGCATCTGATTGAAATTGTACATTTATGTTTATTCCTGGCTTCTCTTCTGAGCGGCTGCCTGTGGAGTCGACAGCGGGCTGAATCTGGCAGTCAAGTGAGGAATTAGAAACGTGGCCAGTGAACACCATGCCTGCTTCTTTTTAATGTGGCTGCAGCTGTGACTATTACATGTGTGGCTTTTTTAAAATGAGAGGATAGAGAACATGAAAAGTTATTTCTTTTCTAAAGGTAAATGTTGGACTTTTGCTTTTTCTCAGTTAACTAATCTATTTATCGAAATAACAGAATTTAGACATTTGGGGGCCATTTCTAATTTTTAAGATTTCAGCTCACTTGGGCCCAGATCTTAACTTTGCCCTGCCCCCAGCCAATTTAAGTCATCCTGTATCTATTTTTTGTTACTGTCATATAAAAGACTCCCATACTTCGTGATAGCTTACTGTTTACAAATTTGTGGCAGAATTTTTAAATTGAGGTGTTCCGGCAGGTACCTTTTGAAGGTGAGGTGTCTTTACTACTGTGGTCGTATTACTCATAATAGTTTATTGAGCATCTATTGACAAACTCTCACAGTTTTTGTTCAAATGTACGTGTTCAGGCAGTGTGTGAAACACTGTGGTGCGCTGCATTAGCACATGCAGATTGGGTTGGACTGTATATTGCCTCTGTTTTCTCCTCTTTAAGTGAACTTAGGAGCTGCTGCAGGGCTGTTGTGAGAATTTCAGTGGGTGTATATCATTAGACATTCTTTTAGCACATCTTGTATTCTAGGCACCGTGCCTAGTGCTCTACATGTGACACCTTGTTTAATCCCCTAAACCCAGGGAAGCAGGTGCTGCTCTTCTCCCCATCTCACAGTGGAGGAAACTGAGACGCTAACCAGGGAAGTTACTTGCTGAGGGTTAAAGAGCTAATCAGTGGCCACAGGACTTGATTCTAGCCGTTCGAAGCACAGACTTGTGCTTGGGCCTGTCCTTCTGCATATATCAAACTCATTGTACTCATAGCACATTCCCCCCCCCTCCCCCCCTTTATGTCTGCTGGCTGGACAGAAGGTTTAGCGTGCCAGGCTACAGGACATGCTGGTTAAACGTGCTACATAGAGCACCTTTACGACTCAACAGCACTTAATATGGGAAGGCGAATTTAGCCTTTATCCAGCCTGTCATGTGCCGGCTCACTTCTTGCTTACCAATGCCTTCAGGCTGCACTGCTTTGTGGGTACTCCTTAGGTGGTCAGCTCTGTTTTGGCAACAAGCCACGTGAAGAAGTATTGCTATCTATAACAGAAGCATCTCTGAGACTGAGCCACGTGTGCATGTGGTTTTATGACCCTGGTATTTTCTGTCTCTAATATGTATGTGTGATTCTACTGGGGCGATTTATCTTCACAAGGATACAAATACTTGTAGGTAATAATGATTTTTCCCCACCACCTTTAGTCATCTTTTAGCTAAACTGAATAAATGTTCGGCCCTTTTCCTCTCTCTTTACGAAGCGGAAGGTGCTGAAATGCAATCATTTCTGCAGTGGCTTATGTGGTTTCCTAGGTGCTGAGTTCTGTGGTGACACAATGCCTACATATTTTAGGAAGGAGGGAGGAGGAGGAGGAAGCTGAAACCCTGTCAATGCAGAGTGATGTGGTGGGAAATTTAACAGCCACAACGATTTGCTGGCTAAGTCTAAGGAAATAGCCATCATCTGCTAGTGAAGTTTAGTATATGATACTCTTGCATGGAAAATATTTAGTGATCTTGTTGTGCCAAACTTCTCAGGCCAATATCTTCTGGTGTTTTTATTTCTCTTCCTGTAAAATTGTCTTTGAGGAATTGCAAAATGAAGTATTTTTAAATGGCTTTTTTATTTTTAAATCATTTTTGTGATTCTTATGAGTTTGTGCTATCCACAAATTTGCTACTTACAAATAATCCTTTGTTATGCAGATGCTTGGTTTCGAGCTCTGAAAACAAGACTTTGGGTACCAGGGAGTGTCTCATGATCTGAAACTGCCTGATTGCTTGCTAATTACAAATAATCCTTTGTTATGCAGATGCTTGGTTTTGAGCTCTGAAAACAAGACTTTGGGTACCAGGGAGTGTCTCATGATCTGAAACTGCCTGATTGCTAAATTTAAGAGAGTGGGTAGCAAGAATTTAGATATGTACATCAAGAAAATGTATGTACATCTTTTCTGACAGTAGGGGATACCTGTATACAAGGGTTTCATAGCCTTGACACTATTGACATTTGAGACCAGGTAACTTTTTACTGGGGGGAGGCACGGTTTTGTGCATTGTAGGTCATTTAGCAGCATCCCTGGACTCCACCTGCCAGATGCTGGTAGTTATGTCCCCCAGCTCCCTCTGCAGTTGGAACAACCAAGTATGTCTCCTGGCATATGTCTCCTGGAGTGGGGGTGAGGGGGCAAAATCGTCCCCTGTTGAGAACCACTGCTGTATACCAGTGCACTTAACTAGATTTGTAAATAACTTGAAACTCAGGAGAATACAAAGACTATTATAGCCACCTAGAGATTCTTTATTTTGTCAATTGCATGGAGATAATTTTTAAGGAAGAAAAATGCTAATACAAGAGAGGAAGAGATTGCTTTTAGAAGTTAAGCTAAAAAAGGACAGTGTATTTTTTATATAAAAGACTATCACATTAAACTTTATGGTTAGATGGTAGCTATTTCCTTAGACTCAACCATATATATACTGCCTCTTCCATTTGCTGTCAACAGTGCTTCATTGATCTTATTTATAGGTTCTCTTACTACTCTGCAGTGCAGTTTCAGATCACCAACTAGTGCTTTCTTATTGATCACAAGTAAATTTCAGCCAGCCCTTCCTTTTGTTTGTTTGAAGAGTTGGAATTTTCAACAAAGCAAGAATTTATCAGAGAATGTGCTTTAAGGTCCACGAGCATCTACATGGATGGGGTTGCCTGTCACTCTAGAGTTGGCCTCTGGGCTGGTTTGTAATGGATACTGGAAAACATACCATACCTCTAATTTGGCAGTGTGTGCAATATTATCCTTTCATTTTCTCAGACATTTTCTATTATTGATGCATAATCAGTGACACACAAATGCCTTCTTATGTATGTTGCTGCTGTCATTCCTTTCCTGTGAGCTTTTTAGTTTGAAGGTATTTATCTTTACTATTACTTTATTCCATTTCCATCATTTTGTGAAATTCAGAGTGTCAGTTGCATGCGTGCTAAAAAAAATCATCCTTTAATTTTGAAAGTAAATAGAATTTGAGGCTATATATACCAGGGTCCATTATAGTTAAGTTAATGCAAAAATCAGTCCGGTTAAATGGCTGCACCTTTCCCACAACCTTGCTGTATTGCTAAGACTTTCAGATCTTTAGATGACTGACATTTTTTCTGTTAAACATACATGGTGTCACCCTTCCCTTCAAAAATATAAATGTGCACCTTATTTTATGTCTGAACATCATCACATTACTAAATTCATAAGTTAGGCTTTCTTCAGTGAACACATTCTTTCTCAGTAGTATAATTGTCAGTATGTTTATACTGTTGATACCCTCCCCCGCAAGTAAGTAATCTGGAAGGTGAATCTGATATAGCAATTTTGACCAAAAATTTGCTTGTATGTTCAAGATACACTGCAGTTTTATACTATGATTATCATATCTTTAGCACAGAAATAATAATTATAAATAAAATCTATTTTTTGTTGTACCATATTGCCACTTTGGAGATACTTAGTTATATTGAAATTTTCACTGAATCTTTTCTAGAACTAGGTATTCATATGTTTTAGGAACTAACAGAGAAATTTCCCTTAGGGTGTGCCAGAAGAGGAGCATGTACTTTTGATAATGAAATGAGACCCTATAGAAATGTTTCTAGAGCAGGTGTAATAATTCAAATAAGAATTGAATTGAGAAGGCATGAAAAGAATTGTTTTTCTTCTTTGAATGGCAGTGTTTTGGGTAATGATGACAGCAGAAACCTAAAAGACCATTCAAATTTGCCTGTCTTTTCCTGTGCATGATCTAGAACTATTTTAATCAGTCCTGTAATCAAAATAATGGAAATATTTTTTTTATTTTCATGGTAGGAGATGGAATAAACTGAGGCTGCAGGACAAAGAGAAACGTCTGAAGCTAGAAGATGATTCTGAGGAAAGCGATGCCGAATTTGACGAAGGTTTTAAAGTGCCGGGTTTCCTATTCAAAAAGCTTTTTAAGTATGTGTCATGTGTTCTGTCCTTTATACTTGTCTCAATTTATTGCAAATACAGACACTGTCAAATGAAATTTTAGCCACATGCTGTTCATTAAAATTAGAGGATAATAAATTGACTAACGTGCGCATTGGGTATGTTTGTAAACTGATGACTCTATGTGGACCTGTCTCCTTGCAGACTAAAAGCAACACATTTAAAAGCCATCTATGCTGAAATTTTTTTGTTCTTAATAGTTTTAAGGGACCAAACCTCTAATTTCTTAAATCAGATTAATTTAATAAGGAGTTATATATGAAAATCAATACTAGGGAGTTTTTTTTTACTTCTATGTGGTAATAAAAAACTGTTGAGATGATTTTCTGAGTGTCTTATATTGTACCTGAGGGTATAATACTTTTGAGCTGACCAAATATGCATCTAAATATTTTATGTAGGTGTTGTTCTGATGTCAAAGGCAACACCTTGAGGATAAAGTTGCCATTTGAAGCTGACTGAGTTTCATATGTAAAGTGGCTGCATGTTGCAGGTGACCGACATGGCCTGATAGATGCACGCTCATGATCTATGGGTGTGGCCATTCTCCTGAGATGAATATAAATAGTGAGGAATGTTTCAGTCTCATTGCTCCTGGGATTTACTTAACAAGATGCTTTTGGGATGGAGGCTTCTTAGATGCACATAGGACGTTAAACCATTAAATAGCTTCTTTCTGTCTCTTTTGTATCATTAATTTGTAGTTGGTAGCAGGATGCAAACTTCTTTCTTTGAGATGATTATGTTTAATCTCGTTTATAGATTCAGCTGTCAGCCATGCCTAAACTTGTGAAAGGTATCTACTCAAAAATAGCATGCTCTTTATATTTCTTCTCAAAGAGCTTATGTTATAGTTTAGTTATTTATGCCACTACACCTGTAGGAAGGCTGAGTCCTAAAGCTGTGAAGTTGCTTGACCGGGTTGCCATAACTGGACAGAGGAAGAACTGTGCAGAAGATAAAATCTGAATCTCTAGTAATTTTTGCAAAGAAACCATTTTATAGCCCAGAGAGGTGGCTGCTTTGCTCATGGCTTCTCCCCAGTGAAAATTAACTATGGAAGGGTAAATAAGATAACATTTATTGGCAACTCTTTTTATTTTCTCTAAGGTGATTGCTTGTTGGAGAGCAGGCCATGTAGTATCAGTGTTGTATGAGCAAAAAGAATACCCAAATTATAGATTAAAATGATTTAATGACAGATACACTACATGTGTAGTAAGTGATTTGGCAATTAACCTCAAGAATCAAGTAGAGTGTGCATTTTTCTATAAATATCAGATTTTCTAGCAAAGAAATTTCACAGTTAATAGAACCAAACTTTGCTTACTAAGAGTATATCGAATTCAGTGTATTAACTATTAACTCTATAGTAGTTAATAGAAACACATATTTGTTTGTTTTTTAATCAGTCTTAATTACACATTCCTGGAAAGTGTTTGTGGTTCTCATCTGTACAAAAACAGGATTTTAAATACTTTATAAATGTTACAAAACTTCTGTTCATTTTCTCCTGAAAAAAAATTAATAGAATAGATAGTCTCTATTTTTCTTTTATGATTAAGTTTTAGCCAGGCCAATTTCATTTTTAACTGTAGATATATTTTTACTGTATTTACTACACTCTGTAGAATTGAATTAACAGGGTATGTAGTTGTACACAAGGGAGTCAGAAGGTACAATTATCCATTTAAGTGCTATTTTCTGCAAGATAATTTTTAACTTTTAAATTTCTGTTTTGAAAGTTTGCCCAGCAAATGCATTCATGTGTATAATTTAGCAATCACGTGACAGATTTCAATCTTTTGACCTTACTTTCTGTCACACTAATATATGCAATTTTGGGTTAGAGTCACAGTGGCAAGATACACCAGTCATGTGTGGTTATTTTATGATGCTTCAGTCCCGTGGGGATAGCAGAGTATAGTAATTTCATGACTCTTGTATGATAGTTTATAAAATCTTTAACTTTTCTTAAAGAGTAAGTTTTAATGCTTTTCAAAACTTTCAAAAACTAGATTCTATAACCTGCTTTCATCTAAACTATGTAATTCTTATGCAGTGCCTATTATTAGGAAGGTAAAGCAACAAATCCAAAGTCAGTTAGTTTAATTTCTGCTGGAACTAGAGCCTAGGCCCCTTAACTCCTCATCCAGCGGTTTCCTTCAACTGAAGTGTGAGGATCTTCCTGTGTTGTGGGTGGAAGGAAGGAGCCACTCTTGCTGTCTTTGGACACTGTCCCTAGTTATTTTTGGAAATTTCTGTGTAGAGATGTGAGTTACGGGGCTGCCTAGCAGATATTTTTTCTTAGGTTATTTATGGGTGGAAGGAAGGAGCCACTCTTGCTGTCTTTGGACACTGTCCCTAGTTATTTTTGGGAATTTCTGTGTAGAGATGTGAGTTACGGGGCTGCCTAGCAGATATTTTTTCTTAGGTTATTTCTTTAGTACTAGTCATCTTCTTGTAAACACACAATCATGTGCTATTGGAAAGCCCTTGGAGGATAGATTTGTAGAAGAGGCAATATCTAGCACATTATTGCCACCTCTCCTGGGTCACAACAAATGTAGATGTGCTAACTCCCTCCTGGGATTCCATACTGGTTACCATTCCTTTCATAATTTCTCGATTGCTGCTCTCCAGATTCTTACCACTTTAAGTTAATGGGCCCCAAACAAAGTGAGGCATTGGGCCCATGTTGGATGGAGGCAGTGTGGTGTAGTGGTAAAACTCCAGAATGACCACTGGGAGATTTTGGTCCCTGCACAAGAGGTTGTTCTGTACATCAGTAGAAGGAGTTTGTTGGACTAGAAGGTAGTGATTCTGGAAACAAACTGTGCATCAGTTTTTTTTTGAGAACATTTAAGAGTATGTCTTTTTCAAGAGCTGAGATTATTACAGTGTAGCTAGTTTGTGAACCAACTTTTGTTCTAGACCAGTGTTTCTCAACCTTGGCACAATTAACATTTTGAGCTGAATAATTCATTGTTATGGGGACTGTCCTGTGCGTTGTAGGAATTTGAACAGCATCCCTGGCCTCTCCCCACTAGATCCCAATTGCACTCCCCCAGTTGTAGCAAAAATGTCTTTAGACATTGCTAAAGCTCCCTAGGGAGCAAAATTACTCCCAGTTGAGAACTACTGATCTAGATTATTTCCAAATTGGAATCACTTTGGAATCATACAGTTCTGGATTTCAATTCTGGCTTGCTCAGTTTTTCTAGCACTGTGACCTTTGGCAAGTTACTTTATCATTCTGAGCCTTTGTTTTCTAACTATAAAATATGCTGCTGATCTCCTCTGTGCAGGTTGGTTATGAAGCTCTATCCAAACCACCTGACCTAGTGCCTTCTGGAAGTAAGCTCCTTAAGTGGTAGCCATTATTCACTGATTACACACCACGTATTTGTGGAACTTGTCCTTCTTCCCCAATTAAATGATCTTATGTCCATGCTAGACTTCATTGTGTTTTGATTTTTAGTCCTCTTCTCCAGGGTGCATATCCAGAGTATATATTATGCTTAGCAAGCCTAATAAGCAGCAAAATTCTCAAAGTTTTCCTTATATGATAGGTTATAATGGCACTAGCTAGAGTTAAACTTCTAGAATGGACTTGAAAAATATTGGGGGAAAGTTAATTAGGACATATTTACTGAGAGGAGATTAAATAAAACCAGCTCAGCAAGGACTGAAGTCCAAAATTAGATTTTAGGGAGATATACCAGGTACCAAATAGTAAATATTTGGGCAGTGAAACAATAACAAAAACACCTTCTTTTAAGGTGGGTAGCTCATTAGCCAGGGTATTTTTTTTTTTTGAGGAAAGAAAATTATTTAGCTTTCATCATCTTTTAAGTGGTTTTTGCTTTAAATTTTTTAACTTGGCATATAATCTTCATACCATTCCATGATGTTGTCTTTCTTTCACTCTGAAAAATGTTTTTGCTCTATTCCTTTTTTTTAAACTTCATTTTTAGGTTATAGATTAAACAGGCCGTTGATGGAGAAAGGAAAATACCAAATCCTATTTGGTGGGGAAGGAGATATATTATTTCTCTTTGACCCGTATTCCTTATTTAAAATTTTAATAGCTCTGATCTTTTTGTACCTATGATAAAATCCCTGAATCTATTTCTGCTTTAAAATAAGACTGTAGGGCCGGCCCGGTGGCGCACTGCTACAGTGCACTGCTGGGGAGCGCGGGGGCGCTCCCGCCGAGGGTTCGGATCCCACATACAGACGGGCCGCTCACTGGCTGAGCGAGGTGCGGGTGCGACATAGGGTTGCGATCCATTGCCGGTCACGAAAAAAGACAAAAAGGAAAAAAAAAAAAGACTGTATTGTTGAGTCTTTAAAATGTTCTTTTTTTGCATCTGCTAGTAATAGACAGAATCATCTAATGTGTACTAATTTTGAAAGCAGCCCTATTATTCAAACTTGTTTATGCCTTAAAATTTAATTTAATTTTTCCTATAAAAAGATAATATGATTACCAAGTGACTTTTCAACAGTAGAAGTTGTAAATTGTGGTGTTCTCTGTCCTGCTTTTTTGATGCTATTCAGATTGAAAAATGAACATAAATTCCTCTTTTTTGTAGAGAAATTAATGGATCTAAAAATATTTAGGATTTTTTTCCCAGAAAGAGAGTGAATAAAAGATAATAAGTTTGTGCTTGTTTAGCAAGTTATTTCTAATGTTGAAAAAAGAAATGAATAGTCTGTAATTACCCCATCTATCAGTTTAATTAGAAATGTGTTAACATTCTATAAAGAAAAACTTGTGATTTTATGCCCAGGTGATCAAAAATGTATGACCTTGTAAATATAATACTCATGTAAAACACACATCCAGCATGTTTCTCTGACTGGTACTAGAAACTAGCCAAATGATTAATTCATGAGCACTTTCTGTTATGATCTGTATTATCCACCATTTGCCATTTTCTCTTTTCTTGTTGGTGTTTGTTGTTGTAGGTACCAGCAGACAGGTGTTAGGTGGCTGTGGGAATTGCACTGCCAGCAGGCAGGAGGAATTCTGGGAGATGAAATGGGATTGGGCAAGACCATCCAGATAATTGCCTTCTTGGCAGGTCTGAGCTACAGCAAGATCAGGACTCGTGGTTCAAATTACAGGCAAGTGCTCCTCTGCAGACTGTCAGTCTGTGGAGCTCAATTAATATTTCATCAGATGTATTGCTGTGGAGGAGGGTCTTGTGAATTATTGATGACATTTCAATTACAATATTCCTTTAATTCTTTTAGTGGGGGACATCAAAGGAAAATTTTTACGAGACAATGGAGCTGTAGGGCAGGAGAAATTAAACATGTAACACTTTTAATGAATTCCAGGCATCGATGCTTCATTTTGCAGATGAGCCCCACTAGATATTTTGGGTCAATACGATGTCTAAGGTTAGCCTCTACAAATGGATTGTTTACAAACTCAATTATGTTAATATCAATAGTTTACACAATATGGAATTTTAAATTAGACATAATATCTTTAGTTCCATTTATTAAATTTTACATTAAAATATTTGTTTTGGCAAGAGACCAGGTGAGCATTACAGTAAGTACAAAGTCTATTCATGGGGAAAGTTGGAGCTTTGAAGAATCCATTCTCCGTAATTTCCTTTATAATCAGTATGCCTGACAGCATTTATAGATAGCTCTTTTTTCTTTTTTTGAATGAAGTTGCTTGTCTGCTCACTATGCCTTCTGCTCCTCATCCAGTCTTTATGAATTTTATATAAGTTCTAAGGCCAAAGCCTAATTTACTATCTAAAATGATAGAAAACTATATTTAGATTTTAATCTTTATTCTCTTTAGAACTTTAAATAAACTTTTAAAGCTTTAGTGTTCCAAAAGAATAAGCATTTAATCTGTTCAGTATGGTAGGGCTGAAATACTTTATCTTGAAAAAGTACTGTGATCATTTCCATATTTAAGCTGTAAATTGGTTTCATGGAAGTCAGCATTGGTAAAAATATTGCTAGGTAAATTACGTATGATATTTAATTTTGAACCCAGATAATCCGAGAGCTCCTTTTGTTTTAATAGGTTTATCTAATGAGTAACAATAAGATATTTACCAGGTGGTTATGTCCTAGAAACCTCAAGCACTCCTATGATTTGGAGATCCCTTTAAAATAGTGTCGATGTGCCTGAAGTCAGCAACTGCAGGAAGTTATTCTCCTATAGTGCAATTCATTGGAGAGATGTTTAGTAGGGAGCAAAATATGAACCATAAACTGTTGAATAAAGAACTTTTTTTTTGTCTTCAGAGTTTATTGTTTTTTTTTATCTCTCACTCATTAATTTAGCAGATCAACACTTCTTGTGAGGAGTGTTTGAAATTTTAGAATATTTTAGAAATTCCAGTTGCATTTATGTAGATATAGGAAGGGGAAAAAACATTTGGCAATTTTTAAATGCTAAGTATTTTGTTATTATTACAAGGAAGCTGTGTTGAAGCAGAGGATTTTCTTCACATATTAGTATTCTTTTTTTTACGTTTTGCCTGGAAACGTGAAAACATTTCAGCCCAAGGAAAAAAGCAAAGTTAAAAAATGGGTATTTAATGTTTTCTTATCTATGACAGTCATTAGCATTTAAAAATATGCTTCCTCTATTTGGTTGGCTTGGTTTCTCTGACTGTTGGGCTTTTTTGATAACTAGAATGCCCCAAAAGGCCCCAAATGATTTCTGGGATTGTCTTTCTTTCCTTAAATGATTTCTGGGACTTTCTTATCTCCCATTCCTTTTCTTCCCTTCCCTTCCTATTATTATGAAACTTATGTGGAGTCTAATATTCTGGGCCTAGGAAACCTAAAGTCATCCCTGCAGTGTAGTTCTGATCTAAAAATTAAAACGTACTCTCTTGAGTGGTGACAGTCCTACTAGGAGTGAAGTCAGGGCTAATAACAAGCAGCAGCTGTAATCAATTAACTATCAGCGCTCATATCCATTTTTCCATAATGAAGTAGTGTGGCATACTGGACTATAGCCCAGATCATCTTTATTAAAATGGTACTGGTAAAGTGGCTTTGGAGAATGTGGTAATATATCAGCCAGACAACTGGGCTCTTTCTTCATGAACAGAGGTGTACTGAGGAGCTTGGTCCCCCCAACTTATATGCCAGAGCGAATTGGATAGCATTTTTCTAACAGTTTTCTAACATGTCCTCCTCTGAAACTAGATGAACTTGGAGTTTTCCTCTATGTGTATGTCCTAAAGAAAAATAGTCAGTCCTTGAGGTCAGATGACATGTGTGAGGTGGCGTGGCTTCATTGGCTTTGTAAGCCTCCTCTGAACTCCTGCAAACTGTGGATTTGGGGGCCCTAATTTGAGATGGTCTCAGTGTTCCAATTTTAAGGTTCATGAATGTTGAAATGGTGTAAGTCTCTGTGACAGGAGAAACTTCATGGTAAAAGATGTTTGGTTAATTGTTTTTTTAAATGTGTGTTGTATGGGTGTATGCTTTTAAAAGAGGGAGCAGCATATTACAGGAGGTTAATAAAAATCTCCACTGGTTGTTGTGTTCCCAGTTCCCAGTGGATACTCTACTTTTTTTCACTTTGCCATTCATATTATAATGGTAGGCCCCTGAATTTTATGATAGAGAGGAAATAAGTTATTTACCTTTCACATTTCAGTTAATACTGAAAGTCTTGGTTATCATTTAGTTAATTTCTAATGAAGAAAAAATGTCCTGAAAAAGTTAATAAACTTTCAATGGTAAATATTTTACTTTGTAATTCCTGGTAAGTTCTAGGCTATGACTATCTGTTTCTATCCTGCAGGTTGAAATATTTGGCCAGGGAGCTATGGGCTTGTCCTAAATTCATTAGGTAATTGATGATGATAAAGATGAGAGGAATTTAGACATTTCTGTGCTCCTCTCACTGGTATGGAGGATTGAAAAGGCTGCTTCAATTGATGTGACTATTAATGGATTTGATTGCCCCTTCTGTGGTCCAGGAACAACCTAGATCTGCTCCTAGATTTCAGCTTAGTGTGGCAATCTTCATCTTCTAATGGAGAACGACAGAAATTACAGGGCATAATAATGCTGGATGAATGTTCAGCCAGAAGAAAATAGTTAGCCTTGAAGGACAAAGTATGAGTCATCAGTGTAGCTGTTTGCAGAAGGCATATTATAAAAGAGAAAAAAATGCTGTATAACCTGAAAAAGGATGTGTATTTATGCATGCTTATTTGAGTGTGAGCTTGTTTTTCAATATTTTAGACAGCTTTTGATTGGTTGTTTCCTGATTTCTGCTAAGTGCATATTGATGAGAACTCCTTTATTTCTCTGGGAGGATAGAAAGAAGTGGGCACATTTAATCCCTGTAGAAAGGAATGCTGTCACGGAAGGGACCAGGGTAGAGTCCGGCTCTCCCCAGGGAGTTTGGGGGGCACATGTACAGGCCCTGCCCTTAGTGAGGAGCACAGCTTGGGAATTCTGTAGGAAATATCGGAGTCTACTGTAGCCTCTGGCTTCTTGTAGTCTGACCCTTTCTACCCAGCCAAGGAGCAAGGACTCTAGCTGGAGGCGGGGAGGGTTTAGAAGTGGACAGAGGCATTTTGTCATGTTGGAGAGTAAGGGTAAGCCTCATCTAAGTCAGGGCTTCACCAAAATCTCATTGTTTTTCTGTTACAACTACAAATTAATTTTCAGTTGTGTAGAAGATAATTTTTAATATTTCAAGCACTGTGATTTACTCTTGAGTTATTTTAAAAAAATTTTTTAAGTTCAAGAATCATTTATTGAGCTGTAGCAAGAAAAATCACTCATCATATTCCAACTTGGAAATAATATCTTCTAACATTTTGACATATTTTCTTCCTACCTTTAAGAAAAGCTCTCATTTAGTAAAGCCAGTGTTTATTAATGAACTGCTCTAGGCTAGGCATTGAGATTATTCAAAGAAGAGATTGTCCCTGCTCTCAAGGAGCTTAGGGAGCTCTGACACAATTATAGCAAGGAAAATATGTGTTATGACAGGATTAGTATGGGGTCCTAATTAGCTGAGGTGCCCCAAGGAAGTGTCCTTCAGTTGTGTGGAGAGGCTGGGACAGGAAGGTTCTGTAGAGGAGGCTGGGGTCAGAGGAGGACTAGGAGGCAGCTGGGAGGGGTGGAGGGGAGAGAGGGTCGAGGTGAAGGCTGAGGGGTCAGAGGAGCATGTCGCCCGTCGGGGTGGTGATAGTTCAGGCTGGTGGTTGCTGACCACAGGGTCAAGTGTTGGGTGGCAGTGCAAGTAGAAGGGTGAGCTGAGGTCAGATCCTCGTGGCCTCATAGGCCAGGTCAAGGTGTTCAGACTCTGTCCCATGAGCAGCGGGCAACCATTGAAGGCTTGGAAGGGAGGGCATGAGGCATTCAGAAATCCGTGCTTTGAAACGATCATGCTGGAAGGTGTAGTAACCAGATGAGAGATGAGAGTGGCCGGGACTGGTGTGGTGACAGGATATAGGGAGAGACGTGGTGACTTTGAGAGGGATTCCGGAGGTGGAAGTGACATGAACTCGGTGGAAAGATAGTGGGCCTGATTAAGGACAGGCCTGGATTTCTGGTTTGGGCACACGCAGAGGGGATGACGGTTCTGTCCATTGGATTGGGCACACTGAGGGGAAGGCCAGGTGGGGAAGGGTGATGTGTATGCCGGCGGGACAGCTGAGTCAGCAGCAGTTATGAATCCAGTGTGGTGGTTTGGGGTTGGGAACACGGTCTGGCTGGAGACCTAGATTTGGCCTCCTCAGTGTATAGAGCAGATTGAAACCGTGGGCATGAGTGAGCTAGCATGGAAATGTGTGTACACTGGGGTAAGGTATGTGCGCTTGGCTTCACACAGTCAGCATCTTTGTTGAGCAGAGGAAAGGGAGAGGGGGAAGAGCGGCTGCCTCCACGGTGTCTCTGCTTCTGCCCTGATGAGTGAGGGGCAGGTGTGGGGCCGGCAGTGCCTGTGGTCAGTCTTGTGTCCAGTGGCCCCTGGCAGCCTGAGCTGCATGTAAGTCTGGTGTTGAAGAGGCCGCCTCAGTTAGTTTTGGCTCGTGCCTAATTTTCATCCTGTGCACTGACTAGCAGCCACCCCAGCGAGGCTGAAGATGAAGTGGCTGCAGTAACGGGAATGTTGATGTAGTGGGGGTGTGGGCTCATGAGCTTAGGTGAAGGGGTTGGTCTCAGCCAGGAAGAGGGCGGGACAGGCGTGGATGCAGACAGGTACCTGTGGTGTATAATGCATCAGGATATTTGACTGCAAGGACATGAAACCTGGACTCAAATTGGGTTAAACATTTATAAAATGCATGGTACACCTAGCAACCTACAGAGAGGGAGGCTGTAGACACGCATGATCAGCAGCTCAGTAATGTCATCAGGGTCCCAGCCACTTTAATTTTCTCCTAAGGCCAGTTCTCCTTGTGACCATAAGATCTTACCACTGTAGCCCAACTGCCCAGTGCCTGTTGGGCTGTACACACAGCAGGAGAGACTGAGAGAAAAACTCTTCCCCACCATAGAGCATAAGTCCTTCATTACTAGGTAGGTTGGTCAGCCTTGCCAGCCAACTTTGTGGGCTAGTGAGAGTTGCAGGGGAATGCTGTGCACTAACAGGCTTGAGGTGAACCAAGATTCCCACTTCACAGCCAAACAACGGTCAGAGTCCCATGAAGTACGTGTCTGTGGGAAGGAAGTGGGCACCTGCACAAAAATGGTTCTGTTTGGAAAGGAGAGAGCAGAAAGGGATGGTGAGACATGGCTGTGAGTCTCCTGGCCCACCTAGTGTAAGGGCACTGGATGATTCCATAAATGATTTTGTTTTTTTAAAAACTTATTATGAGCATTTTCCCAGGTGATTAAATATTCTTCAGAAATGATTTTATGTTTATATGCTATTCTATGTCATTTAACAAAACCTTATAGTATTTACTATATGGCACTGTTCTAAGCACTTTACAGATGTTAACTGACTTAATCTTCATAATAACCCTATAAGATCAATACTATTATTATTTCCATGTGAAGATGAGAAACTGACGTCCAGAGAGTTTAAATAATGTCCCTGAGATCACAAAGTTAGTGTGTGCAGAGCTGGGATTCAGACCCAGGCGGTGCTCCTACCACTGGCCTGTGCTGTGTCAAAGAAATGGGATAGTTCATTCGCCCCTTCTCTATCTATGGACATTTGGGTGGCATACACCTTTTCCACAGTATAAATAATTCTCTGGTGTGTATGCTGTTCTGTAAATGTGTGTTGGGATCTTTGTGTCAATGTGTGACTGCTGCTCGGCTGCTTTCCACGACAACAGTGCCAGCCTGCATGCCATTGGTACGGGCTTTCCAGGAGAGCCGCCGCTGGCTGCTTCTCCACCATTTCCTCGCGTGGAGAAGTGGGCAGCGTGGAGAAGTGGGCAGCGTGGTGTCGTGAGAGCGGCTGCAGCAATCAGAAGACTGACTTGTACTTCCAGGCATTCCTCCACCTCTGGATAGCCATGTCACCTTGGGCATGCCACCTGCCGAATCCCCAGACATGGGAGCGTTTCTGTCCTGCTTACTTCCCAGGGCTGTGAAGAGCAGCCTGTGAAGAAATCCTGTGGGTTGAAAATCCTTGGTGGACTGTAAAGTGTCAAACAAATTTAAGATACTGATATGTCCACTTAGGTTAAGGTCCACTATATAATAACTTCACTAATCTGGAATAGAAGGGGAGGGAGTATTTTTCTTACATAATATTTGTTTGATTTTCTTTTACTTCACTGTAGATGTTATCTTTGAATGTATTATTTGGTGTTTTCTCTTAATACCTACATCTGCTGATTGATGGATGGGATCATAGAGATTTCACTTACTGGGTTTTAACCTCGATAGCTTTTTCTTTAAAGGAAATAGCAATAAATTTCCACAGCTAGCATTTTCTTTTTCGAACTATTAAGTTCTTTTGTTTCTGTTTTTGTTTTGTTTTGTTTGGCAGTTAATCACTCTATGCTGTCTTCATGGCTGTGTTTTCTTCTTGGACATTTGGGTGCAGGTTTGAGGGATTGGGTCCAACTATAATCGTCTGTCCAACGACAGTGATGCATCAGTGGGTGAAAGAGTTTCACACATGGTGGCCTCTGTTCAGAGTGGCAATTCTACACGAAACTGGTTCCTACACCCACAAAAAGGTAACGTGATAATTCTTCAGTACCTTTCTTTCTATTTGTTTTGTTTTAATGCATTCCATTTTACATATTTGGTTTTTCTTTCATCAGTGCGTTTCTCAGATGTATAATCCTGTGTTTCTTCATGCATTTAAAACTATTTTTTTTTACTATTGACTTAATTTAGAGACACAACTGGGCACAGACAGGGCATCACAAGCCCGATAGTATGAGTGGGACCACAAATCAGGTGGCTTACATAGCAGTTAGCTGCAGGGACTTTGGGCATTTGAGGCTTTAAAAGTAATATAACTCTTAATTGGTAAATGCATTTGTTAATAGTCGTTTAAAACATGTTTTTGATGAAGGGAAGAAGCAACTTGACATTTTGAGAATTTTACAGGTATTGATGGTTTTTAATTAAGTTGCTTTGTTCTCTGAATTCTTGATCATTATGTATGGAAAGCTATATTCCTGACTTATTTGTAGTTTTATTAATAGTCACATTATCAAAAAGGAGGTATATCTGTGCTCCTGTGGGTAGCACAGACATGTTGTGTTCTGCTTTTTTCTTGTCTGTCTTACCATCTAGACTGTGAGCTCTGTAGAGTAGGGACTGCATCAGACTCATTTTCGTATCCCAAGTGCGCCATAAGCATTTGCTGAATAAATAATAATCACTGTTTCACTGGGGTCTTGTAGGTTACATTACTGACAGGAAGTGGCAGTTCGTTGTGAATTCTTTCTTCCTGAGTCTTCTGAGCTCTTGATTGAGCCCTCCTGTACCCCATGAAAGCAGTGCCAGCTGCAGAAGCTGTGACCTGCTGGCCTCCTTGAGATAAGCACAAAGGAGCATCTCCGTGCTTTTGCCGATACCCCTTTCCCTCCATGTTCCCCTTGTGTTCATGATCATGGGTAAACAGAACTGTCAACAGACAACAGAAGTCGATCAGCAGTCTCTATGATTTGGTAGCTCAAGTGAGGTGAGATGGAATCTTACTTATTCTAGCTGTTATTGTTAAAACTAACTGACTTTGCTCAGAATTTTAAATGATAAATAGAAAACAAATGAGCTAAGATAATTAATGACATAAGGTAAATGCTGTGATATTTTTAAAAAGTGATTTTTAGCAGTATGAAAATAACAGTTTAGATTTTTTTTTTCTAGTCAAATCCTGACTTGTAACTATCCGGTCATTACCCTGTAAAATATTCTTGATTTCTTTTTTCACTCCCATTATCCATTGACATCTCTCAGTGTTTTGTGTTGCAGAAGCTTGTAGCAGGATTCATTAGTTGATGTTTGTCTTAGAAAGGCAAATTTTTCACATGTTCCTCTTCTTCCTTTTATTTTCTTTTGGGTTGTAACGTGCACATATTTCACGACTTCATCTGGATTGTGGCTTACCTGCCGGCCCTCTGGTACTATAACCTGAGAACTACCTTCATGTAAACCAAATACATTGACTCGCAAAGGGAAATAAGAATTGACAGTGAACTTGTTGGTGAAACAACTTCCTTAACTTCTTTGGGGGGCACAACTTAAAGAATAGGTATTTTACTTTGTTTACAATGGTTCTACCTTCTGACACACAGACGCATGCTTACAAATGGCTGCTTATGGGCCGACCCCGTGGTGCACTCGGGAGAGTATGGCGCTGGGAGCGCAGCGACGCTCCTGCCGCGGGGTCGGATCCTGTATAGGGATGACCGGGGCGCTCACAGCGCTCACTGGCTGAGCGCGGTGCAGCCGGTCTCAAAAAGGACAAAAAAAAAAAGAAACATGATCAGTTTATTATTTCTTATTAATCTTAACAATCAGTTTATTATCTGTGGCGGCACATTGAGAAGGTGTTAATAGTTCCTTTGCACAGGCCTTCTTAGTGACTTTTCCAAGATGGTAACTTTGGTTTCTGGATTAAAGCACTGAAGTGGCATTTGATCCCCCTGCTCCTTCCTTTCTTTTCTGTATGTACAGATCTTTGTCACCATCCCACATGTACCTGCTGGCTTATAAATGTGTGTTCTTTTGCAATAGAGTCTACATTTCTTTTTTTTTTTTTGTCTTTTTCCGTGTCCGGCAACGGATCGCAACCCTCAGTGTCGCCCCTGTACCGGACCGGGACCGGCAACGGGATCGCAACCCTCGGTGTTGCCCCCGCGCCTCGCTCAGCCAGTGAGCGGGAACCGGTCTGTATGTGGGATCCGAACCCTCGGCTGGAGCGCCTCCGCGCTTCCCAAGCAGCGCACTAGCGCAGTGCGCCACCGGGCCGGCCCGAGTCTACATTTCTTATTCCTATTTCAAATATTCTGTCAGTGCCGATCTGTCGTCTAACCCAGCCTGACTTCCTTTCCTTCCTTTTCAGCTGGGATTTCTCTTTTCCATGGGTGAGCCTTCTGTGCTCACCACTGATAGTCCTATCGAAATTTAACAGTGGCACACCGGCGTAGAAACGTTCAGTGCTGGACAAAATAGAGAAGAGAAGAGGATTTCTCTTTAGAAATATTTAAAAGAGTAGTAATGGCAGAATTGTTTTGCTTATTACTCAAGTAGATTATCTTTATTTTCCTAATGCTTTGTTGTTGCTAGTGTGACATAAAATTTTTCATTTGAAAAGCAGATACCAAATGATCAATAATTTCTGAATGTAGCACATCTATCATTCTTCCCCAAATTGCCTTTTAGCTTCTCACCTCTCTCACCATTTAATCCCATATAATATTTGTTAACAGTCTCTTTGATTGGGAGCATAATTGAGAATTGTCAAATGCACACCCAGCAACCATGTAATAAAAAAAAAAATGCATCTAATAATTTCAACTGGTCAAATCTAATGAAGAAACTTTCAGGCTTCTTTAATGGTCAGTTGAAATCTCATTTAATGGGAGTCTAAGATTTTCTTTTTCTCATTGTTTTGTGATCCCTTTTTTCTAACATAGAAAAACTTTTACGTGAGTTGATTAATATTTATTTGTTGAAAAACTATAAACACTACATTCCAGATCTTTGATGTTAGGGCTGCAAAAAATGTATGTGATGTTTTTAACTTGGAGAGCCAACTGTTTTCTTGGGGAAAGAAAATGTAATATATGAGAAGATAATGAAAGAAGACAGTCTTGTGATACTTACCCCATAACTCACAGTGGGTGGTGGCATCTATAGCTTAAACTGAGTAGGTACCCTTTTTTCAAATTGGTGGAAGATGTGTAATGAGAAATCACTTATATTCTAAACAATTGTCACTTTCTCTCCCACCTTTTTCTGCTATGTAGAGTCTAGTAATTCTGTGGAATATTTTAGACAGTTCAAAGAGTTTTGTCTCATTTAGTCAAGTCGTGCCATTTAGAGGTGTAAGAGTGGGAAAGGCAGCAATGGTGTAGCATTTTAAGAGCATAGGTTGTGTAGTTACCAGACCAGGGTTTGAATCTCAGGTCTGCCATTTGATAACTCTGTGACCTGGAGCAAGTCACTTGGCTTCTCTGAGTCCAGTCTGATCGCCTGAGAAATGGGTATTTTTTTGTAATTCTTTGAGGATTTATTGGGTTGGTATGTGTACACAGAGCTTAGTGTGGTCCCTTGCATATAACATTCACTCAGGTGATTCTTACTATTAGAAATAAAGACTGTGGTAGGTCTCCTCATCTCAGTAGTTGAGTGAAGAAAGGAGGATGAAAGAGGCCTTGCTGAGTGGTTCAGTGTGCATTCTAGAGAGATGGAAGGGCTGCACCCACTTTATCACAAGTGCTCAGGGTCAGTCAACATCTAGACCTTTTTTTTCTCATGTCCATATGCATCTGGCCCCAAATGGAAACGATAAAATAGAATGTTAAAATTCTCTTTTGGGAAGTGCAGGGTGTGGTTAAAGAGCAAACCACACTCACAAAAACCTGGGCCATCTGATGAAGCTACCAACACGTGTGTTCTTTAAAAAGGCCCATTTTCTGAAACGCTAGAGCAAAAAGACTTGGTTTTTAAAAAAGCTGGAGTGAAGTAAAAACATTGCAAATAAAAATAGAAGGGGGTCACACAGCCCTTCAAGCATCCTAAATATTTTAGACTCATTCCAAGTACACAAATTATAACAAAAAGTAACGTAATTCCTGCTAATGCTAGACACTGTGTATGCACCTAATATAAGAAATGATAGATACTTGGCTTGTTCTGTGAGGTAACAATTTTATGTTGTAAAATTATGTTCCCAGAGCCCTTTTTTCTTCATTGTCAGCACAAATCCTTGTTTATTAAAGATTTAGCTGGAAGGAAATTTTAATTAATTACAGGTGTGGTAAATCCTGCCTGGGAAGCTGCCGTGCTGTGTTTACTGTGAATGGCCTTCATGTGCCTGCGCGTGGCTCGGCTCTCTGCTGCCTGACAGTGTGATTTATGGCTGTTGTTTTCCTCCAGTCCACTGTTTGCCCTCTAGGAGGGATTGGTCTCCTGAGCCTCCATAATAACAGCAGCACTTTCACAGACATCTCTTAATGACAACAGCACAGCGTTCAGTAAGTCAGGCTAATTGCAGATGTACCCTATTAATTGCAAAAACTAGGAGAGGTTACATATTTTACAAGCTTTTAATTTGAAACCGCCCGAGATGATTTGTCTTAAGTGTTTGAATGGAGATGTCCATGATTTCAACAATTCACCATTATTGAAACTCCATTGTAGTCATTTATAGAATTCTGAGATTGAACCAGGTGAAAACAGATTTAGATGTGCTTTTACCCCGTGGCTGTTAAATGGAGATTATCTTTTCAGTGGGGACATTTCCTGTTCTTTTTGTAACAGCATCTTCTTAATTTTTGTTAATCAATATACATCTTTCTGAACACAGTAGAAATTCTATGTTTCTACAGCTAACATTATAGAATTTTCCAAATAAACTTCAACCTATAAGCAAACAAAAGAAACTACACTTCG